GGTGACAGTTGCCCCATCCCTGGGAACATTCCAGGGCAGGATGGATGGGGCTCTGAGCAGCCTGATGTATTTGGAAGTGTTCCTGTGATGCCTTGGGAAGGCTGACCTAGAGCAGAGGCTGGACAGAGCTAAAGAATAAAGCAGGGATTGATTTAAAGGATCTCCTCCATGGATGCACCTTGGGCAGCACCAGAGCCCAGCCAGGGCTGCACCCAAATGACCCAAAATGGTCCCAAAATGCACGAGCGCTCCCGGGGCTCTCCCTGGGATCAGTTCTGCTCCATTGGCACCTTGGAGTTCATTGTCCCATTCCAGCTTCAGCCCAGGCAGCCCCATCCTGCTTGTTTTTCTCTCTCCAGCCCACGCTGTTTGTGCTCCTGGGCTGAGATTTGGATCATTTGTCCTTGGTGCCCAGCTGGAGCAGGAATTGTTTTGTGTCCCTGCTCTGTGCAGAGAGCTCAGCATCCCCTGATGGGAAACTCAGGAGTGCACACTAAAGCAGCACAGAATGTGAAGATAGAAAAGCTGAGCCTGAGGCGTCCCAGTGAGCGTGCCCCGTTGTCCCCACAGGTTATGGGATCATGACAGATGGCTACACCACCTACATCAACGCCTCCACCTGCACAGTCAGCTTCCAGCCCACCAACCCTCCCATCATCTTCGACCTTCCCACCCCTCAAGGATCCTGAAGCACTACTGGGGAAGGTCTAGAAACTGCCATTTTCTAATTACAAAACTTACATTCATGTTTATTTCAAAATAGGGGCTAGGGGGATTTTGGGGCAGTCGTGGGGGGGGGGGGGGGGTTGTTTTGGGGTGGGGTTTGGGATTTTTTTTTTTTTTTAATTTGTAATTTGCTGGTGCAAAAGAAACAAGAAGAAAAGTTAGAGGTTGTGCTTTTTGGAAATGCAGCATTCATTTTAAATTGATAAAGCATTGTGAATTTGTAAAATTAATTTTGTTTTTCAATAAATTTTCCATTGTAAATTGTTATAGTGTTCTCAAAAGGACAGCCAAGCTTTCTTTTAATAAGTAAGAGACCTTATTTTAATATTATATTATAAGCTAAAAAATAGGCAGCATTTAAATACACCCAAATTTGCACAACTTTTGTTATTGTCAGGGTTTTTTTAAGTGTCTTTTTTTTCCCTAGATTTAAATGTTAGCTTTTTGTCTCAATTTATATCAGTTTTTTTAGTAGCACAAACGATGTTTTGGGGTCCATTTACCTCTTGACACGTGTGCATGTACTTAAACTTGTTTCTATTCATGGTAGGATTCAGAAAGGGGAGAATAGACTTCTCAGTTGTTTGTCTCTACCTGCTTTATAAAGACTGATCTAGATAGCCACAGCCTGTATGTGATATCTACCTTCTGTTGTTTCTTTTTTAAATTATTTTAGCTTTAAAAGACTGGGGGTGAAAGCTGCAAAGAGCAGGTATTTCATGCAGTAAAAAAAAAAAAATGTAAATGCGGACTCCTTTTAAATATGAATTTATATATATATGTATTTTTTGTGCATTATAACTAAGCTAGGATTTAATATTGCCAGTATAGCATCTGCAAAATTATGCTGTACAGCACATCTAAATTATGAAGGATGTGACACATTTTTCCAAGTGCTCAAGGCCTTCAAGAGCCCGAGTTAAATCTTTGTTGTAGTTCAGGCATGTATAGAGCCAAATGGATACAATCAAGCCTAAATAAAATAAGGCTTAGTTGTCCTTTATATTTAAATATTCTTCTTGTCTTTTTTATTTCCTTTTTCTTATTTTGCACTGTGTGTAAATGCAATCTCACTAGCACAAAATATTGTTGCAGATAGTTATTTCTGTTCCACCACTGTAAATGCTATTGAGCTTTGTTCTGTTTTATGTTACCTTGTTAATGGAATTTAGAAAAGCAGTTGTTTCTTTAAATTTATTGTGATATTATATCTAGCGGCCTTTATATGCAAATAAAATTGCAAGATTTTTAAATATGTGTTTCAAGGGAAATCTGTGGGGTTTTTTCGTGGCATGAACGATTTTGGGGAGTGATGGTAAGGGTAAGTAAGAAGTTTTCTGTTTCTCAGTACATTTATATTGCAGCCCATTCATCAGCTGCCAGTTGGGTCAGTGGAGCCCTGAGTTTCCCTTCTGGTTCTGTGGGTTTCTGTGGCAGAAGGCTTTTTGTCTTTAGGTGTTGGTCTTCAGTGTGACCAAGTTTAAACCTTGTGGGACCCTGCTCCAAATGACACAAGGAAGAATCCATCAGGCAGGAGCCTTTTTGCTTCCTCACTGGGTCATTAGCACCGAGCTGCAGGTGTCTCGTGCTCACCCACTCTGGGCTAAAAAATGAATAGTCAGTAGGTGAAATACATCACTTTTTATGTGGCTCTCTTGTCAGTTTTGTGGCTGCAGCAGGACCCACCACTGGTAGGGCAGCGGGTTGACAAACACTGCAGGACTGCTGGTGATGCTGCACACACTTAGATAGATAATTACAGAGTCTTCTTCCAAAGCAGGAGCTATGGCTGCAAAAATCTGCTTTCAGACATGAGAAAATAATGTACAGTTTGCATGAACCTGCACCCACAGTAACATCACAACTCCTGGAGAGGGACAGAGTATCCCCATTTACCTTAACAGGTTGGTAACTTTTGACATTATTTTGATACAAAGATTAGAAAAATTAGACAGACAAAATAGACAAACAAATCCAAGGCTCTTACAGCAGAATACAACTTAGAGGACCACCATCTGTATTTTGATGCAACATGCATGACACAGATCTTGGCCGAAATCTTCACATTTCTAAGTCTGCTATACCAAAGTCTTTTTTTTTTTTTGGGAAGAAGCTGCTGTATGTCTTAAATCTGGTTCTTGTTCTGTATGGAATTCCTTGTCAGGTTTCCTTATGAAATAGATAGGTGCCTTCACTCCTTAATGATATCTGCCTCGCTTTGCTTGCAGTGCTGGTTATTTTATCAACTGAGCCAAAGGAAGAAAGGTCACCAAATATTAATGCTTATTTTGGGATGTAGATGCAGGGTCTGTCTTGTGGGCTTTTTTTCAGCTAGCACTGAGAAGATGAGGAAATTGGCTGTGACAGCCACAGCTGTCTACTGGCAAAGAGCTTTTGAGATGGTTGTCCTTGGAAGAAAAGCAGTTCTTGGGGCACACAGGAATCATGTGTGCAGCACACCTTGGATTATTCTGTTTCACTGATCTCTTGGATGTTGTCACTGCATCAGGAGGAAACACCCACAGCCTCAGATGCTCTGTAGTGCCACGAGCTTTGAGGTGAGCAGAGAATAGCCACTGTATCTTGTGTTGCTTTCCAGCCTTCTGGAGAGCCTGGCACCTCTTCATTAGCTGCAGCAGGAGGTCCATGGCACCAGGCTGTCACGTCTCTGCCTCTCCATAGGAAATGGGTTATTCCAAAAGCAGGATTTCCAAGCCAACAGCTTTGTTCCAGGATTTGAGCAGACTTCTGGCAGCAAAAGGAGTGGATGGCAGTGGAAGTTCACCCAGGAACCTGCCTTGGGTAAGATGTTAAAGAAGCAGATGCTGTGAGGGAGCAGATGTGTAGCAACCTCTGGGATAAACTCCTAGCTGGTACCTGTAGCCATGGATGCCCTAAAGGTGTGAGTCTTGGTTCCAGCTCTTTGCCACATGGCTTTTTGGCTGTGTGGTGCAGCAGGTGTGTCACTAAGGGGTTCTGCACTGGCATACAGGGGCCTGGATTTGTCACAGCAGGCTGAGGCTTCCTCCTCCCATTTACACACATCAAGGGCAGTCACTGCTTTGTCATCTGTTGGTGTTGGGGCTAAATACAGCTGTTCATTTACAGAGGTAAGTCTTCAGGGGTGCTTTCTAACCCTGGGTTTTCTCCTGGTATCTTTTTCTCTCAGGCTCTCTCAGCTTGACCTTGCTGGTGGTTCAGTACTGAGCTCATTCTCCTCCATGCCAGGGTATTTTAAATTTTACTCCCTCAGTTTTCTTTCGTCCTTTCAAGAACTGATCTAGTTTTCCTCTTCTGAGAAAGCTCTCATTTTGGCTAGCAGCAATTACAAAAATGGCCAGGAAATATTAGCAGTTTGGCTTATTTTCTAGTTGTGCTCCTTGGAGATTTTGAAATGTAGATAATGTAATGTTTGTGTGTACTGTCACAGGCAGATAATTTTCCTGTGCTGAATGTCAGCCATATCTGACAGTCAGGGTAATTGGGACACAGCATGGTTTGTAGAAGTTTGGTTTCACAGGCAGTCAAAAGTGTGTGAGGAATCTCCTTCATTTCAAGGATCTTTCTCCACTGGAAGTGGCTCAATGCATGTATGTAGAACAAACCCAGGGTAATAAGTCTTCCTTTGGGGTCTGGTCCAAGCCCACTGAACTCACCAGGAGTCTTTCTATTGACTTCAGCTGGCTGTGGATCAGACACCTGCCATCTCTCTGGACTGTGCTCCTGCCTATTACTCATCCTTCCAGCTGGAGGAGATGGTCCTTGGTTAAGATGCAGGAATTTCTTGGTGGGAATAGAGACCCACCTATTGCACGTGCTGAATCCTCCCAGGCGATGGATTAACAGCAGTGCAGTCGATTAACCTTTCTTCTTGTGACAGCAGCTCCCATCTCCTCATCTCCACAAGGCTGAGAGCAGTCAAGGCCTTCAGCAGGGGAGGGCTGAGGAGCAGGAAGCTCCCCAGAGGTGATTGGTTCCCAATTCTCTCTGCATAGTCAATTTAGTGAATTCAGCAGACCTTGGGGTCATGCATTTATTAGGCTAAGAGACTGTCAAATCAATCTGCTCTACTCCAGGCAAGTTCTGCCAGGAGGATGGGTTTTGCCAAGACTCTGTCTCAGCAATAGATTGATGACTGACTCCTGCTTGAAGCTACCTTTCTCTTTTCCATTTTCCGTGAATCAGAGTTTTTATCCTCACTGACACCAGTATTTTCTCCTTAGACAAATTTAATTAAGGAAACTCTTGGAAACTATCTGTAAGTTAAGTCACAGGGAGAGTTCCAAACTCTGTAGTCATATTGACCTCAGGGCCTTCCTTGAGACCTTGCTTTTTGACCACAGGTGTTTGAATTAGGTTTCTGGAATTTTCTTTTCACTCCTTCTCTCCCTCACTCCCCCATGTCTTCTTTTCAACCTAATATTCTCTAGCAGTTACAGGCTGGCAGGGATTCTGCTTTTTCTCTGCCTAACATCACAGCTTCATAATGGAGAGAGAAATGCATTGTAAAAACAAGCGTATTTCCTTTCCTTTATACTAATCCTGACTTCCTTGCAGGTTCCCCATTTGCTGTGACCAGGCTGTTGAGCACTCTCACCAGCTAATTTACTTGAGCTGCTCAAATGAAATGGTGTTATTTATGATCAGGCTTGGACAGGGGTGGTGGCTGTCAGAGGACACCCTCGGCACCCCTGTGGGCAGGTTCCAGCTGCCAGAGCTCTGCCTGATGTGCAGAAGTGCCAGGAAAGGGAGTCTCACACCAGAGTGCAGCCCAAGTGCAGCATGGAGAACTGAAGTCAGATTGTAACATTTTCACCTTCGCTTCCTGCCAGCCCAATCAAGGGAAAATGCAAGAGAAGTCTGAGCGAGCTCAGTGCTCTAAATCAGTTTTCAGTGATCCATATTGATTTGTTTCTTCCCCATCTGTTTATCCCTTTCCTGCCTCCACCTCTGGCAGGAGCCAGCAGTGCTGCAGTGATTCCATTAG